TTCTCTATATTCACTTGAAGTCCCGTCTTCGCTGTCCTGCCTCTTCTATCAACTTGTTAGTTTTTGCCTGCAGATCTTCAAGTTTATGTGACATTAGGCACAAGTCATCGGCGAAATCCAAGTCTTCTAGGTTCTTTTCCGCAGTCCAGCCAGCGTATCCCCCTCTTCTCGCTGCCTACTGTTTGCTGCATGATCCAGTCCAGTTGATCACAATCAGGAATATCATGGGGGATAGTAGGCAACCTTGTTTCACTCCTGTCTTCACTTCAAAATCATCACTGAGCTTCCCATTGTGGATTACTTGGCATGTGGCATCTTCATACAGTTGTTGAATGAGGCGGATAAAGGTTTGCGGTACTCCGTAGTATTGAAGCAGTTTCCAAATTACTTCTCAGTCGACGCTGTCAAAGGCCTTCTCAAAGTCGATGAAGTTGAGGTAGAGAGCTGATTGCCATTCTATGCTCTGTTCTATGATGATACGAAGCGTTGCAATTTGGTCTGCACATGATTTGTACTTCCTGAAGCCTGACGATTATCATTATCATTATTGATTTCAATATGTGTGAAATATACTCATAATGATTTGAAGGAAGAATACGTATTTCAACGAAGATTCTCTTTTCGAAGATTTCATTTTCAAAGCTGTACAATCGCCAATCTATACATTTTTCTGGTGTAAGGATCTGATAGTTAAAAACGGTTTTGTCAGGCACGGCAACACAAATGGTGTCAATAATTGGTCATTTAGATTTAAAAAAAACCCAAAACTGATGAGTAGTGAATATTAATCAAAGCAAGTTTGAACAAGAAGTTTCATAACATAACGACATAATTGAAAACTGAATTGCGATCAGACGGAACATAGCAACAAGAATGAGTAGCAAATTACTTAAGAAGTGGACAGTATCAAAACAGAAAGATGAAAAGAAAAAAAGGGGGAGTAGAGGAGGATTTCAACATACATGTGGTTTGAAACAATTAGTCCCTTTAATAAATTTCGATAACGCTATTGTGGTTCACGGTGTTACTGACGATTTCCAGACAGGATGAAATATGCTTCCTGGATTCCGCTGCTAGCCAGTATCCATCATTACTATATGCATGGCTTTCCTATGATGCTTAGCCGTAAACTGTTATCAAGAGTATCAGTTGACTACTAACTACTCTATTCTGAATGACGTAATCCAACTTCAACCTATTCAATTTGAGCATCCACTGCAACCTTTTGTATTACAGCCTGACATGTAGAAATTGATGCTTCATTTTGTATTATATATATATGTTTTCTCGTATTTTTTCACGTTTTATCTAATCACGTATGTAAAGTATCCAGCCGATTTCTACTGAACTTCATGAATTGATTAAACTTTGCTTTTTTTCACATTCAGTGCTTGTTTAACATTTCATCTCCTTACTCGCTGTAACCCTTCGCATTCATCTTATTATTTTACCATTTTTTGTTGACTTTATCTTTTAATGGCAACTTGAAGTGATGAAGTATTTTGGGAAGTTCTATGTTGTTGTATTTACCTCACTCACTCCATTTATTCCATTCATAATTGAAACGGTGTTCTTTTGCTTCACTGATCTTATCATGTTCTCTATAGGTAAGAAGGATTTTGCAACCAAGTCCTTAGGTACTTTTTAAGTGCGTAACATGAAACAGGAAAGATCATCACCAGAATAACAAAGTAAAAAGTCTTTCAAGACTAGGGTGAAGATAACCTAAATAACCCTGTAGTATGTATATCTATATATTCTGTTTAGTATCGAACCGTCTTTATTTCTTTTAATACTCAAACCCAAAAAAATTTATTCCATCTAACGTTAGATGTTCACATGTGATTAGTACGTTTGAATGAACTGAACTGAAAGATCTGAGTAGGTTTCTGGAGTGGATTTCACTCTAACATATTAAAATATCATCCACATCTCAGATAGAATTTTGTCTGTTTGATGGCATCACTTAGTTTGGTATTCTCTAAGTGGACTGGGAATATTTCTACAAACACAGGACCAAGGGGACTACCCATAGCCACACCGTCTGCCTGTTTGTAATGCAAACCATTAGACTGGAATTGTATGCTTTTTGTGCATAGCGTTAATGAATCTTTCAGTCTATTGGATAGGTAGTCTATCATGTCGGTTTGACTAGATATGATATCAATCATTTTTTTCAAGTGTCATATTAGTGAATAATGATTCAACATCAAAAGAAAGCATATGATCTTTGCTTATATCAGTATCATCTATCCTGTTAACAACTTCAAAACTGTCCTTCGAAGTATGGACAACTAGCTATTTCTTGATAGGGTCAACTAACTGTACAACCCACTGAGTGAGTTCTTGGTATGAGGAGTTCGACACTGCCAATATAGAACGTAAAGGTATACCAGTTTTGTGTACCTTGGGAAAAACCTTATATTGATAGTAATGATGGATAGCGGCTAGCAATGGGATCCAGGATAATATAAAAACAATCATATGCTAAAAACCTTACATTCTTGGCAAATGTTTACCTCAGAGTCTCAATGTCTCACAGAAACTTGCATCGATTAAACTATGCTTCAGCAACTGGTTGAGGACTTGATTTATCTGACTTGTCTGATTATTTTCATATCACCAGGTGAGATGTGATATTCTGAAATTCCCGATGTATTGTTATGTGAATGGTAGGCTATAACCTTGACCTTTTTGGCAATCAGGATATTCTCAAAAGTACATCTTAAAAATACTGAATAGAAAGTGACATTTTGCTATGGAGATATACCGTTCTTTTTTTTTAAAAATTACTTGCGATTGATGATTTCACTGTTGGTACTGCATTCAGTGTTCGGGCAATCAACTCCGTTATCCGACAACCACTTCAAAGATTCTTTTTATTGACTTTAGTCTTAGTGAACTACTGATGTTGAGAAACATCAACCTTAGCAAATTGTTGGCCAATGAAATATTGGAATCGATGCGGGTAATCTGTTTGGCTTTTGGCAACCCTAGTCGGTTAGGTATATTACAGCACGTCAAAAGTTGGGTATACTATATTGCAGTTCATTGTTTTCTGTTGTGTAACTGTGAAAGCTGGTCGATGAAAGTCGAAGGCCTGAGAAGAGTACAAGTGTAGCTGCTCATGTGAGCCTTCATAACACTACTGACGTATAATGGAACCAGATGCCGGATAATGGTGAAGTTTCGCGTAGAATACTCGGCATGAAATGCAAGTCAGTCGATAAGGACACCAAACCTCTGGTAACTGGAGTGGCTTGGACATCTGTTGAATATGTCAAGGCACCGCCTAACTCAGTGTGATGTTGGCCGCGGTAGAATTGGCTCGGAAAAAAGCTAAAAGTGGTCACACTTAGAAGGAGCACTTGTCCATCAAGCTTTGACTCTTGCTATGAACCGTATGGGGAGGTGTATTCTGTCTGGCTGGAGTTTTCGAGATAATAGACATCAATAGTTGGAGACTTTTGGTGATATAGCTGAAAATCGGTCACAATGGCACACTTGTATTCACTCTTTGGATCTAAATTTTAATCAATCTTACTAACCTTTATTTATTTGCTTATTTTCCCTCCTATGCACTTTTGTCTACTTTAATATCACTCCTTTCTCTATCCAGTTCTTCGTTGCATTCTATTGTAAAGTGTGGCAACTTGGATCAATCCCCGCCTGCTCCAGGCTTTACATTGGTTTATCTCTATCAATATTGGGAGGTTTGGAGCATGCGGTTTGTGTTTACGCAACAACTAGAATTTATAGCTAATGTGTATACGCAGATTTATTTCAATCTCATTTTCATAAATCTTTGTTCTTATCATCTTTCCTCGTACACCTTGTTATAGTGGCCATTGTTTTCATTTTCTTAACTTTCCTCCCGTTGGGTCCCATCTTTTGCACGGTAACCAAAACCAATGAGCAACTATCCAAAGGTTTTGTTGATTATTTTATCGTTCTGAGCTTAATGAAGTTAACACTCCCTCTGGTGCACAAATTTGATTGAAATTACTGAGTTAAACCTCAAACTCTGTTTCTTGTGTACCTATTCACATATCTACTGCGTCTTTAAATAATTGTGCACACTGTCAAATGAAAATAAGCTTATAAACCATCTAAAATCTACTCTATTAAGGTTTGCAGCTCACCTTCTCAAAAAATACAATCCTCTAGGGGGCCTGGTCTGTGACACCATGATGCCGACAGATTCACAACAGTGGCTCCTTTCGGTATATACAGGCAAAGCTAGGGCTGTGAACACTGGCATTTTGGACCAAATATCTCTCACCTTCGCAAGGTAAGACTACACCCGTCCCTGTGGATTGCTTCAACAACAATAACTAGGGAGCTAGATTTGCCTTTCCTTTTGGTTGCACTGCTCGCAGCTGACTGAATAGAATCCCGACGGATAACCAACCATCCATGATTTAGAGACCGACAACACTAATTTTGCATATGTGGACCTCGTCTACTGCGTTTTCTCTAAATGAGCTTGATGGCGTATTAGTTGATATCCAGCGAGCCCAAGGAAAGGCACACCATCGCAAGCAACTAGGCTCGTCCTGTGATCCCCGGAGCACAAAGCATCTCTAGTTTTCACGAATCACCAGCACTAACCTAACATCACTTACTCATGTCATGTACACCATCTTCACTTCGATATCCTGGCACATAATTTTAGAGTTGATCTAAGTTGTTTAGAGATTCATATTTTCTCCCCGATTCACATGATATGGAAGAATAAGTTTCCTAGAATAAGTTATTTCTAATACATTGTGTATAGTGTGTATATTTAGCGAGTGAAATGACCACTAGTTTGTAGATTACGTTGTGATTTGGTAAGTGTGAAACCAACTGATGATCAGAATGTGTGTTTTTTAATTGCACGTTAGTAAGTACTATATGATCTAAGTAACACTAGTGTGTATATGCGTTGTAATCTCTACTATTCTCATCTTCTGTCTAACTACTCTATTTTTAATCTAATTATTTGTTTTACTTTTAAGGGTTGTAAACAGGTAATCAGTGATTTGGTAAAAGAAAAATTCCTTATGGCGTTAACTCTTATCATGAGCGTTCCGATATCAAAGGTTAGTTTGAAATATTCAGTTTTTCTTGGGAATGATCTACTCTCTTTTTGTGTTGATCACTTAAATAACTCATAGTATCTAGTAGATCACTTGATGAAACAGTCGTTTATTGAGGTAGCTATGCAATTTGTAATCTTCAAGTCATATTTACTAATATACTCTACTCTTCTACTACAGAAATTCAGTTGCAGTGTGTACATATTGGTGCTAACTTTTCTGATGATCACTTACTATCGTGATACTTAGTTTCCCGAGGAGCCTAAATTCTTTAGAGAGTGAAAGGACAGACCTTATTCGTAAACGCCAACAAGTAGATAAACTCAGTTGACTGATACTTTATAAGAAAAATTTTCTCTAAGCGTTCATTAAATTTCTTTTACCTAATTTCAATATATGCTGGTAGATTGATAATGTTAGTCTCCATGTAAAAATTATAATTTATCGCCTATTACTCAGATGTTTGCCCACAATTACTCTGAGTTGTATAAGATGGTATACTAAATCCTACTCTTTTATTGTGATGATTAATAATCCATAATAACTTTGTACCTCATATCATTTTTATGATTGTTCTTCACATCACAGTTTCTTCAGGCTTGCCAACCTTTGAGAAGTTTGATATTTAATGTGCTATTTTAGTCAGAAATTTGATATTTTAAATTTTCACTAAAAGTTGTGCACAAAAACTGACCACTTGAACACTTTTTAGCCAACAACACCATTATCGCCAATAGTTGATTGTTGGTTTTGTTAACAGTCACTCTATCACTCAGGTCCTTAAATATCTGTTTTTATGTCTTGGACTAATACATTTTCCATTATTCAAGTAGAATTACCAGTGACTCGATGGTAAAGCGCTCACCGCGACTCCTAAAAGCCTTGTCTGGGTTCTATCTCTGGCAGGGTCATGGATACCGCACTGCTGAAGATCCCCATACTAAGACGAAAAAGTTGTCCGGTGTTCTCAGCTTTTCAGTGTTTTTTCAACTGATGTCAGGCCGTGATGAATACCAACTTAAAAATAATAGATCCCCACAAACCTGCAAATAGAATTACTAGTCTTGAAAAATGTGGTATTACTCAAACTGCTACGTATATACGAAAGGACAAATAAAACGTTGAAATTCACATGAAAGTCCAGCCGTCTAATTTCTCACATTTTGTATTTTCCTAGAACGATAAAATAAACAGAAGTAGCGTAATATTACGGTAAACAAGGGGAATGTTACTGTAGAAGAGATAAATAAGTGAAGATTAACAAAATGTTCTCCGAGTATCACCAAGCACTTATTCCTAAGATCGTGTAGACTTCATACAGGCAGATTGCACCTCCCTGGGAATGCACTTAGCAACCTTGTTCACATTCGTGCAGTATGCAGTCAGACACATCTGTAGTGTGGGGGTTAATGATACTGCCTAGCTGTCCGAACCTCTGCAGGTGGAACGGGTTTTGAACCTGTGACTCACTGGTTGGAAGCCATCTCCCTAAACCAATGAGCCACAGTTCCATACACTTCCTTCAATGACGCTGACCAACTGTCAGTGTCTTTATTAATTGGTATCTTATGTTTTTATGATCAGCCTTGACTTTCTTGGATTCGAATGTGAAACAGCACAAACATAATGCGGTTATACAATTACCTTTTCTCCCGTGTTCATAATACTCCTAGTTTTATTATTAATTCCGAAAAAGTTTTAATATTAGCGTAACACATGAGTACTGTGGTAGATTTTAATTTCATTTTCTTAAATGTACCTCATTGTAAAACGTTTCGAACATAATCTGCTGTCCTTAGTCACATCAAGGTAACTCTAGAACTTCAAGACATTTATATAGTTTTCTTAATCTCTCCCCTCTTCCATACATTCAGATCACTCTGCACAGTTTGGATTAAAATGAATGCAGATGGAAAAAAGTAAGATGATGTTTCAAGATTGATCCGTGCTAACTCTTAATTTAAGGATAGAGAGTTTAGTGGTTGGACGTATGGACTACTTCCCTTACTTGGAGAGTTTCATCAGTCCAAATGGTTCGGTCGCTGGCGGGATCTTAGCACAGATCTCAAAGTTCCGTTTGTCATTTCTGGTACCGACTGGAGAGATATCCGACTACCTGTTGTCATATTTTCAAATACGAAATAGAGATCAAAATATTAAAAGTGTAAACTCCCAAGTCACCCATCAATAAAGCCCAACACAACCCTGCAGTTGCGCTAGGTCTTCTATGGGTTTCGAACTGATATCGCCTCTTATTGAAAATTGTCTTTACCTAGTTAACTACTTCACCAGCTGTTTCCTAGTGAATAAAGATAAAAAACTTTTCAGTTATTTCTTCTGGTGAATATACTGGTAGTATGCTAATTGTCCGCCGAGTGTTACAATCACACTCCGCTTTAATGTCGTGATTTCGATATATCGATTCATTCAAATCAAAGTACAAAATGTTTGTTCGTCCTGGGTACTATTAATTTTTCTTTCAGACAATAAAAATAGTTGTGTAATGTGACCTTTCATAAACTGGAAAAACAGTGGATTACTGACCACTACTAAATAAATGTAGTATTCAGTTAACTTGACGGGTTTTTCTCTCGGTTACGCATGCTAGTCAGTAGTATATGTCGTAAGGTTTCATTTCATGCCTCCTCATTACCATCCTTATTGTCGAGCAGTTCATAGTTTGTAGTGTAACCAGTTTGGTTGTTTATGGTAGCTAAGGTATACAGGTGCATTTGGTTTGCGTCTAGTTGTATGACTGCTATCATGGATGGAGAATCTTGCTAATACTCACCTTGACTCTAGGTGTAACTAGCTCACCCAGAAAAGTAGGTAATTTGTGGGTAATCCGAACAGTTCACTTCTCTGAAATGACTTAGTTTGTATGCATGACTAATGAGCTAGACTTCATACGAATAAAATAGTTATCTAGTATTTAGATTCACCACTTCGTTTGAATGGCTTCTAACTACCTAATTCGGTTAGTAGTATATATCGCACAATTTTTTATCTTGACACTTTCACTATGAATCTTTTCGTCATACGATTTTGTAAAAGATATAGATGATGCCAATGGTCTGGTGGATAATGCTTTGGCGTTGGAAGCGATGGGTACTCGGTATGAATCTCGGTAGGAACAACATCACTCACTGGGGTGCAGGTACATCCCACTGACGAATCCTAAATAAAACGAAATGGGCATCATGGATTCCACTGCTAACCACGAAGCAGACTACAACATAATGAAATTCCGAGCAATATCGGGCATACACATAGAACCCCATTTGCCAACAGAGGTTGAGCAATTCAACTGTGTATAACAATGGGAAATTGCAAGTATCAATAAAGAAAAATGAAGTGAGAAACATTTCAAGTTGTTATTCATCGAAGACTGACATCAGTTGGAGGAACAAAGGAAACCTGGGAGCACTGGACAGCTGTTTCGAAGTGAGAAACGTTTAACATTACAAAATCACCTGTTAGAGCTTAGAGATGAAGACAAAAACTCAAAATACCAACGGTAAACAGTGCGGAATATGTAATAAAAGTCTATCGACCCAAGTTCTCACCGCTCTCTGTCCTAAATAAATTCATGGAAATCACTGAAAATAATAGAAATACTGGAGTGGACCAAATAGTAGGATTGATTTGAAGCAGAATAAGTCATTAAAAACTTGTTACGTTTCAATGGCAGTAAAATGTGAATGTGGCTGGAATGATGTGATCGATCTCCAGGATATACCAGTCAGGTCTTCCAAACACTGTTTGCTGTTATTCCTTATACACCATATTGGTATTTTCTTTCCAATTCTGTCAGACTTTAATTGATATTGTACGTTAGTATGGACAGTGATTTGATTTTGATACACACTTTTCCAAAACATCTACAGTCGAAATCAATGTTTTACATACAGTGAAAATAGCATTTCAGAGTCATAAATTTTTATATAGTCCTTTATGAACGGTCATATTTAAAAAGAAAGGTGTAAAAAAATATGGGCAGCTAATATTATAGGCACTATATGCTTGGAAAGTGTTTGAACATCTCATCAGGGCCACAATCAATTTATGTTGACAAGCGTCAGTAGATCTTCCATTATCTATGTTAAAATCTTCAACACTTATCTCTTTCTATAACTCTTATGATTCCTGAAAGCACTTAAATAACTGATAAACAAGTTTATCAGTGCCTACTCTGTTTCTTTAAAATGATAGTGAGGAATTGTATGTTAGATTTTTATCCGAATAAAATGAATCGCTTAAGAAATAGGATACCTTTCAAACTTGTGTTATCTAACTGTATTTTGTTGAATTAGTCAGGACTAAAGTTCATGTAAAAGACGTTTGTTGAAAGCATTAGCATGCAGTATCATGTTATTAAGATATCTTTGTCATCTTATCTCAGGTTTTGATTCCTTGCATTTTATATAACCTCCTGGTTTAAACTGATTACCATTAGGTTCGATACTGAGTGTGCGACAGTTGAATACATGAGTTGAAATCCAGTAGCCAATAATTTTTAAGACTTTAGGATGATATATATGACTATTATCTCTTACCATTGATGATTATCAAACCTTATTTTTTATCTAGCTGTGTATACTAGCTGTAACTTTGGTGCGATATGCGCAGGTAGATAATATGACCAGTTGTGAGCACTTTTAACAAACAGTCAATATTTTGCACATTACATACTACTGATTATTGACAAGGATAGTTAAAAAGTCATTGTAAATAATCTTGCAAGCATTTGGTGCTATCCTGGTAAATATTTTGTCAAACTTCATTGAATGAACTATGTGCAGTTCTTGTTCCATCTAGACTTCTTATTAAGCTAAAAACTGATTACTTTTTCTTCACTTTCAACTTTTACCACGTTTCATTCAGTCAGGTTATAAAGTGTGGCAGATTAAACCGATCTACTCCTGTGCCAGTTTCTACTTTGACTCGTCTGTCTATCCATCCAATTAAGTTATGATAACAATTCAGTAATGCTTGTTCAGTCT